AGAGTGTCTTTGTTTGACTTGGGGATGGGCAGAAAAACCAAGCTCCCTCTCCTCAGATATGTCTGGGCTGTTTTCTCTTTCTCATGCCACCAGTGCCATAAATGATGCAGCTGGCGAAGAATGAGTCTCTGGAACTTTTGGCACAGTCAGACTCTTAGCAGCTACAAGTATTATGTTATCTGTCCCAGATCAGTGCTTCACTTTCTCCATCCATTGCAAGGCAGTGAAATCAGTCAGCAGAGCTGAAATCCTTGATTTTAGGAAAACTGGCTTCCACAAGTTTAGGAGTTTCATTGGTGAGGTCCTGAGGGACCATGGTACAATAAGGCGGGGGGTCCAAGACGAGTGGTCATTCCTCAGGGACGCAATCCTCGGACCATAAAGGGAGTCCATTCTGGCTTGCAGGAAAGGTAGCAAAACGGCTGGGAGACCCCCTTGGCTCAATAGGAAAGTCATGGACCTCCTAAAATTGAAAAGAGAAACTTACAGGGAATGGAAGTTGGAAAATACCACCAAGGAAGAGTGCACAGCAATAGCCTGCACCTGTAGGGAGAGGATTAGAAAAGCAAAGGTGGAAACTGAATTCAAATTGGCAATGGAAGTCAAGTACAGTAAAAGGTCCTTCTTTAGATACGTAGGAAGTCAGAGAAAAATAAGAGAAACATTGGACCCCTGCTGAAACAAAATGGGACAGCTGTCAACTGACACCCAGGAGAAATCCAAACACCTAAACGATTACTTCGTGTCAGTATTCCACCAATCAAAGGGTGCTACCCTGCTTGACAGGGTACAGGATGATCAAGGTGGGGGCGATCACCTATCAGCAGTTGGCGAAGATCTCATGAGGGAGCATCTAGAGAGGCTGGACATCTACAAGTCAGCAGGCCCAGTTGAACTAGACCCGAGAGAGTTGAAAGAATTTGTCAACGTCATTGCACAATCCATGGCAAAACTATTTGAGAGCTCATGGTGCTCAGGAGAGGCTCCAGAAGACTGGAAGAGGGTCAGTGTGGTACCTATCTACAAGAAGGGAAGGAAGAAGGATCCAGGGAATTAAAGGTCATTCAGTTTGACCTCAATCCCAGGAAAAAAATCCTGGAAAAAATTGTCAAATTGGCCTATTGCTAATGGAAGACAACATTGTAGTAGACAGCCGGCATGGTTTTGTTGGGGGCAGGTCATGCCTGACCAACCTCCGTTCCTTCTATGATCAGGTAACTCGCCGTGTGAAAAGGGGAGATGAGGTTGGCTTGAGGTCATATACTTAGACTTCAAAAAAAGCCTTTGACTTGGTCTCCCATGACATGCTCATGGTAAAATTGGAGACCTGCAGCCTTGATAGCCCAATGGTCTGGTGGCTAGGAAACTGGCTCCGAGGCAGGACTCAGAGAGTAATAATAGATGGAGCTGAGTCATCATGGTGCTTGGTAACCAATGGCATCCCTCAGGGCTGAGTACTCGGACAAGTGCTTTTTAACGTGTTCATTAATGATTTGGACTTGGGTGTTAAAAGTGGACTGGCAAAGTTCACAGATGACACCAGATTATGGGGGACTGTGGTCATGCTGACAGATAGGCTGAGGATACAGGCTGACCTGGACAGGCTCGCAGGGTGGGCAGATCAAAACCTGATGATGTTCAACACTGAGAAGTGTAAGGTGCTCCACCTGGGAAGATGCAACACACAACATACTTACAGGTTCGACAGCGCTATGCTTACCAGCACCACAACTGAAAGAGACCCTGGGGGTCCTGGTAAACCAAACAATGAACATGAGCCACCAATGCAATGCCATAGCCAGCAAAGCAAACAAAACAGTGGCATGCATCTACCGATGCATCACAAGCAAGACTAAAGATGTCATCCTCCCACTTTACTCCACCTTGCTGAGGCTGCAGCTGGAGTATTGCATCCAGTTCTGGGTGCCGCACTTCAGGAAGGATGTGGAGAAGCTTGAGAGAGTCCAAAGGAGGGCTACACATATGGTTAGAGGTCTGGAGAGCAGGCCATATAATGAGAAGCTGAGAGACATGGGTCTGTCCAGCCTGGAGAAGAGAAGACTCAGAGGGGACTTGGTGGTAGCCTATAAGTATATAAGGGGTGCACATCATGGAGTGGGAGAGCATCTATTCACCAGGACTCCCCAAGGGAAGCCTAGGACTAACGGTCATAAATTGCTAGAAGACCACGTTAAATTAGACATAAGGAAAACGTCTTTACAACTCAGGTGTCCAGGGTCTAGAATAGACTCCCCCCCAGAAGTGGTTCTCCAGTTTCGCTGCTCTCCCCCCACCCCCCAGTTGGCAATCGGTCATTGACGGTGGGGCGCAAATGTAAGCATTGGCCCCCAGGCACTGGAGACCCACGGTACACCACTGCCCAGCAGTCTTTCCTGCCCAAGCGCAGGGGGACTGGACCTTATGATCTCGAGTGGTCCCTTCTGGCCCCTAACGTCTATGAATCATCCAGGGATGTGCTTCTGGGAATTAGGAGTTTTTAGAAAGGTCAGGCAGTCTAAACACTTCCCTCCTCTCTTGGTTTTCATCAGATCCAGTTTTGCCATTGGGACCCTTATCTAATCTCTGATATCGTCCATGCTCTTCAGAGGTCCCTCTTGAGTTCTGCAAGGAAAAGTGAAGGGCATATCACATTCTCTTCCCGAGTTTTTGCTTAAAAGGACTTCTGTACACGTGCTTTTTCATGGTGTATCTATGTTATGGGACAGCCATACAAAGATATATGTTATGTGCTGGAGAGAGTGGCCAGCCTAGTGTGCTACATTGATAACACAGTGGTGTTTGCAGCCTACCAAGTGGTTACAGCAATTGTTCTCAGCCTTTTTTATACTTGAAGCACTTCTCTTTAGACTTGAGATACCCCTTGGAAAATGCTAGCATTTAACTTTTATTTATTTCTTTACTATAGAAAAATACTAGAGCAATTCTTCTGTTGCAGATTGCTCAGAAGGACCACAATAGGTCAGAATGTTTTTAACATTATACAGTCTTATTTAAAACTTTGGCATTTATCTTGTGAATCATGTTTGCACAGCTAACAGTGCTAATATTCTGGGACACCCTTGAAAGGATCTCAAGGCACCTCAGGCTACTGCAGCACCATGGCTGCAAATCCTTGAGTTATAATATCTGCAGTGAACCAGAGTTATTAACTATGCAGTGATGTAGGTGTCCGTCTAGTCCCCAAGTAAAACGTTGGGCAAAGTATCCCTATCACCATCATTACTGGTTCATCTCAAGAGGGAGGCCAGCGATTCAATAGATGTGGTAGCTGCCCCCCCTTCCTAGGGATGATTCAGACCAAGACACATGCACCAGCTAGAGAAGTTTGCCCAGCTAGAGCTTTTGCTGTTTTATTCTGTATATTGGCAGTTTTCCCCACCAATAAAGACTTGATCCAACTCTCAATGACTCTAGCAGGTTCAAGCCCCCCAAGAGCAGCTGTAGTACTCCCCCTCTTCCCTCCCCCAGTGACTGGATTCAGGCTTCCTCAGTGCCTTCCCTCTAATCTTTCCTGCCATGCCTTGATGTACTTAGTTGATTTGTAAACGGGAGGCTGTCCTAGGGTCCCAGAGTGAGCCCTCATCCATCCTACAGGCAGAAGGTCCCTCCCAGACCACACTGGATCTAGTCCTACCCCTCAAGCGCTGAGTGGGTCCTGCTGGCTCATCTATGCCTCGGGGCACCTGTTGCCTTGAGGGCTATTTGTGGCTGCCTTCCTCCCCTAAAGCCAAGGCCATGCCTCGTAGATGTTACCAGTTATCACTTCAGGCTTCCTCAGGCCTCCATGTCCTTGTTGCGGCTCCCGGCTATCCCAGCTTTGGCTCCTTTTAGCTGGCAGGGCCCCTCAGCCTACGCCCACTACACTCAGCCTGGCTTCTGGGCTCCAGCCCTTGCCTTTCTTCAGTTTTGGGGTCCTTGGCCCTGGTTTTTCCCCTCTCAGGCTTTGGGGCCCCTGGCCCTGGTTGGGCCTGTGGCAGAGCACCTTTGCAGGTGCTCGCCACCTCAGGGCTCTCACAGGCTTCAAGGAGAACCTGTTTTGGAGAAGCAGCAAGGGAAACCTTCCCCTGGTACCATTTAAAGGAGGAAGATATGTGGCAGGTCACTGCTGGTGCCTGCCACTTTAAGACCAGAGCCAAGCAGCCAGCAGGTGCTTGATTGTGGCAGCCAGTTTAGATCCCTGGCTGCCTATATAATCAGCTCAGTTCCCTACTGGCTGGGGAGGCAGCAACATTGCCTGGCTGCAAGGCTCTATAACATCCTGGAGGTAAGGAAGGAGCTGTAGGGGATGGCTAGGAGGCTTCTGATCCTGGGCATGACCTAAAACTGCACCCTGCTGGGGGTGGGTGGCCTGGTGGGGCTCTCAGTGGTGCAGGAGCACCCAGGAAATGCCAGGCCAGTTATCACCCTGGTGAAAGGTGGGTAGGGGCACCTTAACCCTAGCCCTCACCTTTGGGTGGGTTAAGTAACACTGGAGGTAGTTGGGGGCAAGGCATGGCTATGGCCACCTGAGCCCCATGGGGTGAGTTGGAGCCAGGCACGGCTGCAGCCATCTGAGCCCACCAGGGAACAAAGCCCCGTGACTGAGTGAAGGGGGCGGAAATGAGAGCCCTGAGTGACGGGGCGGTGTGGAACCCCAAGTGAGGGGGGCAGAAATGGGAAGCCCCAGTGAAGGGGGGAGAAGAACCAGAGGGCTGAGGGCCCAGTACATATACAGACACTTAGTGTTACCCCAAAAGGGGCCAGAGTAAGCTTAGACCCAGTCGGGTAATTGGCTGGCCACTACCCTGGTGAGGGGCATGGGGGAGGCCCCGGAGGTG